GACGCGAAGAACTTTTGATCATGAATTACAAAGCTGGATGTATTGTGTTACCTTCTTATTTATAACTATATCCACATCCACGCACTAACACCAGCATTATCATCACATTTCCATCTACCACGCATGCACGCACGCACGTACTTCAATAGAGTACGTAGCACCTTATCCACATCCACGCGCACCTCCGCACAAAGCTTAATTGATAACGATATCGCGATTTGTCTCTCTCATCTCCACGTGCAACTACAGCTCTATCTCCGAGTCCTCTCCACACTATCGTTTCTTATCCCAGCGGTGAGAATGTTGACGACCATAGTATGACGATTATGAAAATAGGAATATTGAGGGAAGATGTATCGCTTCATGACTAATGCTAGGGAGGTAGGTAGGTATGTAGATAGTGTACATGTTCATATAGGAAAGCGAATCCATTTAACGTGGGGATGATATGAGATATCTAGTATCTCCAGGGCTAGGCGGGTATATAGATATAAACCCCTCGCCCTCCTCTTTAAGTCTTATTGATTCTTCCTTTTCTCTAGAAAATAGATGGGATAGAATTCTTCACCATGTATGGCAAGATAACTCACCCGACATACCTAGGTAACGCAAGTCAGCCTCAAGCGGTTATAGATAGCTTCCCACATTTCCCACATCTCCTCTAAAGTCATAATAACATATAATAAGTAGTCGTTATCATATTTCCAACTTCCCATCTTCTTGTATCTCATCTTTTCAAACCTTATCTTCATGTTTTTACATCCCTATATCCTCATATCCTCATATCTTTAGCTCATTAGAATCCACGATATCTCTACACCTACTCCAAGATTCCGATATCCACTCCCAAGATCAAGATATGCAACATCAGTTCTCTGAATACAATTCGCCTTCTGCATCACGTCCTCACATCCTCTATATCTAATTATTGAAATAGACTTTGTACCATTCATATCTTATAATCCTCATATCCCCCCATCCCCCCATCTTCCACACAAAAACCAAACATCATCCTCCCCATCAACCTCCCTATCCATCCTCACATCCTCCCAACCCCCATCCAAGAACCAATTCCCAACCATCAGCTCCCAACACCTACCCACTCACTCACCCCCAACCAAGGAAATTCAACCCCACAGCTCAAGAACCCATTAACAAATACCAAGATACCCGCGTATATTTTACGATCCAATATAATACCGTCAAATGCCTCATTTACTTCTCCATCTCCCCATAACCCCCTATAAACCAACTCCACCTCATAAATACCTACTTATTTACTCATATACCTCTCTACCTATCTATCCATCCACAGCACAGCACACGAGATCACACCACACCACACCCCCCCAAAGAAAGACCCCAGCAAAAACAAAACAACCATCCAAAACACCAAACAAAAACAACCATTTACCTCAAAAACAACATTTTTTACTATGTACCAAAAGAAACCCATACTAATCTCGATGTATGTATACATTATAAGCGTCGCCTATATAGAACAAGTCAGTAAGGAAGTCCGTGATACCGCTTACGAAGTAACGATGCCTACCTGTAGCATTCTTCCCCAAGAACAACACAACAGTCCGAATTCACACGTACACTGGACACAAGAAGCCCCAACGAATCAAGTAAAGACTTAAATCAAACAACAAATATCACGCTTCAAAACTTTCAAACATAAATTTAGACTTAACATTGTATGCAATTCATGCATCAACAGTCTAAGTACGCAAATCATTGATCAAAATGTATCTATCGACCTAAATCGATACCCATGGCAGCTTCCCAAAGAATATCACTGAGATGACCTCCAAGACGTTATCGATTATCATAGTAGCTTCCCAAAGTGCTCCCAATTCCCTTCCTCCCTTTGTATATTTGTATCTTATTATTTCTTACGATCACTACCGAGACAACGATGTTAGCTATGGCAAGTTGATTGGGGTCTAGGTTTGTAACTCACGTGCTAAGCCTTCTGGAAAGCAATTGTAACCCCTTATCATTATCAGCCTCCCTCTTCGCTCTCTCCAAGGCTTGCTCTCGTCCCTCTTCATTCTGTCTCGTGACTTCTTCGTGACTAGGTGGGAGACGTTCGTTTTGCAAATCAACCTTTCGTGCATCCTCAAAATTAGTAATCGCGTTCTTGATACCTTCTGCTCCAAGCATCAAAGTTCCAGCTGGAAGTCTACCACCAGCTGCGGTCTTCAACTCGGTAACTCTCTCGGATTCTTCTCGTAGAACTTGGAAGACTCGGGAAAGACGACCGATTGCAAGAATTTTGTTCTTGATTGCCCTTCTCTTGTACTCGATGGATTCCGGATCCATTGGAGAATTGATGGGTGGCGATATAGGACCTGGAGAAGTGCTTGATGGAGTTTGATCATCCTTGAGCTCATCCTCCGAAGAAGTGCTAAGAATTGCGAGTAACATATCGGTAATCTTCTCTCCAACGAAGGGTAGAGACCAAGTGAAAACGTCCATGAAGTTTGGTAGCCAGTAAGGATGAGGAGTACAGTTGAACTGTCTGATGTTCATAACGTTGTTCTCATACTTTAACACAGCGGCCTTGTTGTTATAGACATCGAGGTAATTGGGTGCTGAGAAAATGGTCATGACACTAGGAAATCCGGTTGTGCGAGTCTTTCTGTACATTCTGTAACCAGCATCTTGTGCCTCATGGGCTCGAATGATTGAAAGAAGGTTGTTTTTCTCAAGGAAGTTGCATGCAGCGGGATATGAGAAGAAGTATGAGCAACCTCGAACGTGATTGTGAATGAAGAATTCGGAAGTTTTTTCCTGTCCGAATTCCTCCAATGGATCTGCCCATAAGATATCGCACATAAGGCCATGAGTGGGAGGTTCGCGGAATCGATCAATCTGCCAATTCAAATTAGTGACGTCCTGAAAAAAGTAACAGCAGGTGTACATACGCTTTTAAGATCATCCAAAGTGTGTAGCTCAGGACTCAAACCTCCATGAATACACAAGAATTGTTTGTTCATAACAGCTGCTAAAGGCAATGCACAGAATGAATCCATGCATGCTTCGTAGATTCTCTCTGAGTACTTGTGCTTACATTCAAGCTTGAATGTGAAGTAATCTGTCAAATGCCTGCATTCATGGTTTCCCCGAAGTAGCCACAAGCTGTTTGGGTACCAGATCTTCAAAGACCAAAGATATAACACACACTCAATACTGAAATAACCTCTGTCGACATAATCTCCCAAGAACAGGTATCTGGTATCAGCTGGATCTCCACCCACTTCAAAAAGCTTCATTAAGTCGTAATATTGTCCGTGAACATCACCACAAACAGTGATTGGCGCATCCATCTCCAGAAGGTTAGGCTCTTGCTTCAATACTTTGGTACCCTCTTCGAGAATGAAAAGAGCTTGTTCTTCGGTCAAGCGACCTTCTCTGTAGAAATGTTGCTTCAAGAATTGTAAATTTGGCTTGGATGGATCTTGTGGCGAGAAGAATTGCTGATCTGTCGGTGGGACCATGGCAGGTGCTTGTACATCTGCAATTATATAGACTCAGCATCGCGCTCTGGCAGTTGCGCATCTTGAATTTAACCATACCTTTGCATACTCTTTCCATCGTGCTCACTTGACTTCCATCTTCCATGGTATGCAGAGTAAAATCAATCTCTGGCACAGGTTTCTTCTGATGAATTGCTCGCAAAGCATTATCAACTTGCATTCTGTTCTCAATGCCCGCTGGCGCAAGTGGGGTCAGCGGGGTTTTGGGTTGGTCCTCGCCGTCCATGATGGCGAACGGTGTAAAGGATGAAGGAATATGGAATTTCCTGGTGACTGTCGTGTCACAAAAGGAAGCAGTCGTAACTGGATATTTTGCGATCGGGTTAGGAAAGCGGATGGCAGAAAGAGGCTGAAGAGAAAGGGGAGGTTGTTCAATACAGGTGAACTGGACCCTTAAAGTAAGCAGACAAATTAAGCCGTAAATAACTTGTATCAGCTCCTGAGCAAATTGAACAAATCCGAACGAAGACTCCAAGCAAGCCTTGTTGAAGATCAAAGGAAAGGGCAGAGTATATTGAACTCGCTGTCGTTGGTAGCTGTTGTCAATAAGGCTGACAATCCGATAAGTTCTAAAGGGTTCAAGTTGTTTGTGTTTCGGGGAAGGTTAAGCCAAAGCTGGAGGTGAAGATTAATAAAAAGGCGGCAAATCCCAGGGTGCTGCCAGACTGCGAGACTGCCTAATAAATTTGGTAACCTTAAGGGTGAATGGGTGAGTGAGTGGGTGGTGAGTGGTGGTGAGTACCGCCCTAGTAAGCAAAAACGAATATCTGTGGGGATTCTGAAGCCTCGACCAACATTCTACCCATTCACTGGTTCCACAACACCACAACTTATATTATCGTATTATCATTCATTACAAGGACAGGACACATTGAAGATTGAAGAGATCACCAGAAAGTATAAATATCCATCTTACATATACACCTACGTTGTATCGTACACATACCTGGGTATACCTCCTTCGTATACACACCTATACACACACCTTCTTCGTACATGTCTATCAGATACATACATACTCCGTACACACATATACACACATAAATTCCTCGTCTCGAATTGCCAATATCATATGTATCTCTCATCATAAGAGAAAGCATCCGATTGATCGAGAAAGACACCTAAGCACATCTATCTATACGAAGTAAAGCAACCAATCCAATCTTCAAAGCAATCCCATTCTCAGATTTCACAGTCCTCGAACCAGAACCAGATCCAGATCCAGATCCAGGGGCATAATCGATATCGCGTTTCCAAGACTCTAAACCAACCTTCTGCCCTTCCAATTCTTCGAGAACACTTCACGCAATCCCTTTTATCGGAGAAAAAAGACAAGGGTCGTCAATTGTTTGGTAAATCTTATTCCATTTAATTGTCTATTATTACTTGGAAGAAACGAAGACCAATTGATAGAAGATTACTGGTCATAGCTCTTTCCCAAGATCCATTTAAATCATGGACAACCGTTGAGTGCCCCCCTTGTACAACTTCACCGATAGAGAAACTCAAGAACTAACAATGCTCAGGTACCCATCCACTGTTAGCGCAGGTACCTCTAACGGTCTCACCGTTTGTCTCTCTTCCTACTGCGACTACTCTTCCATACACATATAAAACTCTTCCCTCAACGTTGCCACCATCATCTACGGCAGCTGCAGCCTCGTCCAGCGACGGGAGATCTCAATACGTTGTATCGTCGTCGGGCCACGCAGCACATCCAGATGAGATAATTGCATCTTGCAAAGCACTTCAAGCTTATATACAGAAGGTTCAAGACGATGCAGACAGGGAGCTGAAGGCCTGGGAAGATGCGATAGCTGCAAGAGAATTGGCAGAGAAGCGTAGAGTAGCTCCCGGATGGTTGGACAGTGATGCTCGGATATTAGAGCCAGAGAAGAAGACAGTTGCGGGAGGTGAAAACCTTATGGACGTTGATGTGTCAAATAACGATGCTTCACGCCTCGCACAAACCCCTGTGGCTGTTCCAAATCAAGAAGGTGACGAACTCGATAGAGCGTTTGGAGGAATGGGATTAAATAAACCGTGATTATGAGACGACTACCAAAAGACGAACAAACCATTAATTTAACAGATACTACATGTACTTTTCTACTGCTGTGCAATTTGTGACGTAACTGAAGCTTCAAATATCGCGATATTAGCCTTGAATCTAAGGCACAAATGCCAACCTCCAAGGTTGAGCTTCCCAAAATCTTCAATCTTGTCTTGTCTCTCTTGCTTCGACCATAATGCCTCCACGAATACCTAGGGCGAGAACTGGCTGGAAAAAATCCCTTCGAACGCCAAACAATTTCGAGAAATCGCATATCTGCCCAATATGCACTCTATCTCAATATTCAGAGAGGCCTCGGAGTGAACCTCGACAACGCAAACTCTTACCCACCCCTCAATTACCAGTCCGGCAATCATCTACTGCTCCTATAAAAGCTATAAATAATGGAAGACCTGGTAATATCTTAAAATTAGATCGCAGCTCTCTTAGAGAGGCATTACTCGACGTACAAAAACACGCCACGAATTATGTGAATATCTCTAGGTTACAACTTGCGTTAAGAGGTTTAGAACAACCAGAGGGTCAAGAGACAATAAGGATTGCGATATTAGGACTTGCAGATGGTGGTACCTCTCTTCAGAAGGCTAAAGAGCTCCTGAGACTCATTTTGGCGGACCCATTGAAAGCAGAGGAGGAATGGGAACGGCGTATAATTCACGGGGATGACATGAACCGGCCATTATTGATAAGGGTGGGACATAATGAGGAAGAAAGCTCGGAGCGGAATGGCAGGCTGGTACATGAAATGAATATTTCTTCTCCGATGTTCAATGGGCACAAAATGGAGATTTTAGTTTTGGAAATGGAGCCTCCAATAGTCAACGGAACCGAACTTTTCGAAGAAACAGTCCTAGTACCGACGATGGAGATACCGTCTAGTGCAGCCCGTTATACTCCAGTCACAACGCCCGTACATAAATCGTTCCTCCTGGGCCAAGGAATTATGGGAGCAGTCTCTCTTCTTTCGTATCCTCTGCATGCAAACCGAGAATCTATCGGAAGTGCTGTCAACGTTCCAAACTTCGAATCAAAATCTCTACCTATACAATCTATCGATATTTCGTCTGGCAATGAAGCTCTGCAAACATTTCGTAAAAGCATTGAGAATGCGATGGTTTACGAGCGTCAATGGTTGTCAAGCGGTATTCCAGAAGTTATTGACTGGATGAAGTCGGGTGCATCCTCAACTCAAGATACTATCAAAGAACCACTCCTCCGACTGATTTTATCTATCATACAAAATGCGGAGAAAAACCTGAAAGTAGAACAAGCAAGACAATTGTCCCTTCTTTTGTCTACTCGAATACCTTCAGCCCAGATGACATCACTACGTCACGAGCTCTCTAGTTGGTCTGAACGTGCTCATACTGAGCTTCGGGATCAACTGGATGTAGCCTTTGGTGGCCGGAGATGGCGTAAGCTGGGTTGGTGGAAGTTGTTTTGGCGTGTCGACGATGTTTCTATGATCACGTCTGATATGTTGAGCCGAAGCTTCTTGATCGAGGCCGAAAAAGAGATCATATTTCTAGCCGGACGGACAGAAGAAGCTGGAGTCTATCGAAACATATCTCTTGATTCTGACTCTACACAAAGCTCTGATTGGGCTTACACACCTGTCCAGGAGGCCCTTCCAGAAGGATTACCCCCTCCACCAAATCTTCGAGATGTTATCCCAATCAAAGCGGATGAGGATACACCAATGAAGATAAAGCCTCAGCCTTGGCCTTTACATATTCCCATTGCTAGATTATTCTTATCTACAACTACCATTCCTGCTCTTCAAGCCTTAGCGCAGAAGCTTGTTCTGCAAACCCTCAGTACTTCATCCTTGACTTCGGCTCTTGCCGGTCTAATGTATGTGAGTAACATGTCTACAACTTTGTACGAAGCAGGAGCAGTCGCCGCCTTTGGAATAGTGTGGAGTATGAGACGGATGCAAACCAAATGGGAGACTGCGCGGGCATACTGGGAAGGCGAGGTTAGAGAAGAGGGCAGAAAGGCTGTGAGAACCGTGGAAACGATTGTTGGTGAAAACCTGAACAAGGCAGAGGAAGGCAAAGGTTTCGATCCAGTTATCGAACGAGATCTGGAGAAAGCACGGGAAGCCATCAGGTCTGCGCAAGATATCATACGTTGAGAATCAACGAATAATTAGCATCGATGTAACATTATTGTATTATGAAACAATACTCAGCTAATTGTAAATCAACAAATAATTACGGAACATCGTTTACAGCTTGTGGTAAACGGGTTTCTTGTAGCAAATGCATGGAACACTCAAAATATTGCACGACAAATTCTTTCTTTGCATTTTTACCCCAGTGTTTTTGCGCCAGACGCAAGAAAAGACTTGTGTATGAACACCAACTGAAAACCCATAACATTTTTTCCCTTTCACCCCCTTTTCTCCCATTCAATTCACATGTCCACTTTGCCGTTGACTTTCTCAATCACGTGTTAAGAATATTGATACGTGCCTCAGGCAATCATGCTGCTCTAGCGCCTGGCTGTTCCAAGGTTCGAAAGCCATTGGCAATAAACTCTTGAATCTTCAACTTTGCGACATCAATTAACTTTAATTTTACAACATTTTGTAATCAATCTACTCCGCACATTATCTCTTGTAGCAGGCCATTCCATTTCTTTTGTCAAAAGCTCTTTCTGATGCATAATAGATCCAGTGCAATATGTCTACTCCAGATTCAGGTACCATAGATACTCAAACGGCGAAGTTGACGAAAGGCAATGTCGAAAAATCTCTAGACAACGAGAACTCATCAATCCACGATAAAACAGAATTAAAGCATACAGAGATCGGCGAGGAATCTACAAAATCTGACAAACCAGAAAATTATGCGACATCTCAAGATTCATCAACAGGTACAGAAGAGCAAGGCGTCACTTCAGATAATGATACGAATTTGAATGAGAATCAAAACGGAGAAAGTGATCCAAGGGAGAAAGATATTGCTACCGAGGGCCCGCCATTACCAGAAGAACCTCTTCCGCCCCTCCCAAATGAACAACCTCCAGTTGTCGCACAAGAAGATGATGGTTGGGCGCCAGTCTGGGATGAGACAAATCAAGCTTTTTACTTCTACAATCGCTTTACCGGAGCCACACAATGGGATAACCCTCGTGTTCCAGAAGTCTCGCAGCCTGGCCCTCCAGGCGTACCATCTACAAAGTCTGCTATTGTACCTACAGAACTCGACCCAATTTCTCGCCCAGCTTGTGGCTATGATCCTGCTATCCACGGAGATTATGATCCGAACGCCTGGTATGCGCAATCATCGGCAGTCGAAGAACCAACAACTGTTGGGTTAGATCCAGCCGCCGCCTATGCAGCAACTGGCCAATTCAATCGATTTACAGGACGTTGGCAAGCTGCAGAAATCAATCCAGAGAATTTCAATGATGAGAACAAGAGTAAAAGGCAAATGAACGCTTTCTTCGACGTTGATGCTGCGGCAAATAATCATAATGGTAGAAGTTTGAAGGAAGAACGCAGTGGCAAGAAGTTATCCAAAGCAGAACTAAAGCAATTTAAGGAGAAGAGAAAACAAAAAAAGGAAGAGAAACGAAGAGCGTGGTTGAGGGATTGAATATACCACAAATTTTTGCATGTATTGGCGTTGTATTGGGGTTACATAGGGATCAAATCCGGGAGTTCTTGGATGATTTTGAGCGGAAGGGGTCTCGGAAACAGACTTCAAAGCCAAGGAAGGCACAAATTAAAATCATATTAATCTTTATGCTCCACACATCTTCTTCTCTTCTTTTACAAGACAATTGGAACGGTTACCGAACTGTGGAGGCTTACCCCTCGAATACTCCGAGTCCAGCCATCACATTTTCCGATTGTATATTTCCAGGAGTTGCATGCATGGGGTTCGGAATTTTGCCTTGTTCGCTCACATCGTACTTTGACGGTCTCGAATTATCATGTTGTTGATCAAATGCGCCGCTGTAAATAAAAACAGTCAACAACGCCAACCCTTTAATTGGGCAGCAGACTAGTATTATATTTCACTTTCTGCCACAAAATGTCTATTTAATTTACAATTATTCTTAAATCTTCCAACTCTGTTGTCAATTTCATGCTTCACGAGACGAAAATCTCTATCATGCGGCTGGCTTCGTTATCAAATCCATAGCCCACCAGCCTGTACTCGGTCTCATGTTGATTCGTCGAATGCTGTCCTGTAACAAAAAATCATCGTACCACCCATGAGTTACCCCACCCCCACGAAGAAACGTCTCAAGTCTGGAATCAGACACCACGACCTTATCCGGGCAGTCTTCCGAAAGTCCTTGATCGATATTTGATGGCGACTTTTATGCAAGTGATAAAAGCCGTCCTTAGGATAAGTGTTTGAACTTTGCGGATCTTGCAACAACGCCAGGGATGACCTTTTGGCAAGTTTTTCCGTATGAAATTTTCTCCAATCGATTTTGGTCAAGCTATCGGTAAACTCAAAAATAAATGGGATTTCCGGTTATTTTTGTCGTTGCGTTGAGTACAGACATCAACTAGTAATGCCGCAGTTGAAAAGATAAGGCAGTGTATCATTGCTTATGCATAACAAACAATGGACGAGCATGCCGGATAAGAAGTTGTTCTAGTTGTCTTACTGCATACTGCGGGGTGTAGAATGAACAAAACAGCCTCTTGGCGTAGTATCCCTCCTTAGCCATGAAACTTTCTGTTTTCCCGGAGCCGCTCTTTCAGAAATGAAGATTGACCGATTGGTGACAATAGTTGAATATTTGCCAGATTCATTGTAGTTGAATGGCCTCTCCCTACCAATCCTTGCCTTCATGTGTTAGTGACATGTCTACAAGTCTTCGAACTATTTGAGGAATCACAGGATAAAAATCTAGATCTCTTTTGTAGAGACTTTTCCCTGTCCGTGACTCCACTTGTTGATTTCATCAATGGTGCGGGAAACCATTGGATAGAAAACACGTTG